AACATGTCATTGTCAGTTTGAATTTCAGATTGAATATTAGGGAATAATTAAGGCAATGTTCTGAATCTGAATGGAAGAAAGGCTGAGTATGCGAAAACAAATAAGGAACAAAAGAAAGGTCAGATGAGGAGAGACAGAAGAAGAAAGAAGAGGCAAAAGAGATTTTTGAGGAAAGGAGGGTCAGGCTGTCTTGTTTTTGAATTTAATGAAATCTGTTTTTCTTGTCTTATCTTTGTTATATCACCCATAATCTCAGATAGCAAGTGTATTCTTTGTGATTAAAGTTTTTTTGAGAAAGTTGTCTAGTGACCAAGATTGTGCACAGTTCAAACCTGATTTAATTTAATAAAATTATTTTTTTGATTAATTACACGTAAACATGCTATCATACACAGTAAACATGATTTTTGAGTTTTTCAAACAGGGTTATTATAGTTAATTAAAATTAACTTTTTTCTTAATTAACTGAAATAAAATATACAAAAAGACTTATTTTACTTATTTTATTTTAGCTAGTTTTGTTTGACTTGTAGTACTAACATATCTAAAACTAAATAAACTAAAAATAATAAATGTAATAAAAATTATACAGACATTTAAAAAACTAATAAAAATGACAAAAACATTTGTATATGTTATATTTGGCATATATATTTTTGGCATCATTTGATAATTATTTATTCAATTACATATTTAATTGATTTTTGATTACATGTATTTTAATAAAATTATTTGCATAATAATTACAGTTGTAAAAGAATATAGTGGACTTTTTGATTGTTGTGTTAATTGTTTTTACAGTATTGGCTATATTTCTGAATTTGTAAATATACTGTATATCCCTGCTAAATTCTACATACTGTATCACAGAATAAATAGTCAGCATCCAGTCAAAAATTAATGAATATTTTGTCACAGAACTTTTTTTAGATTGTTTTGAATTGTATGTTAGCCAATTTACTACACTGTAAAAAAAATTCTGTCGTTTTTACAAAATAATTTTGGCAGCTGTGGTTGCCAGAATAATTTTGTAAAAAATACAGAAAAACTGTAATTTTACAGTATAAAACTGTAATTTACAAACAAGAAAATTTGAATGTAAACCAGTAAATTCAACAATGCACACTGCTATTAAAATCTGTTTTGTACATTTAACATACTGACAGCCACCATAATAATGCAGGTGGTAAAAGAGAAAGCCACATGAAGAATCAAAGATCATCACAAGTAGCTTCGCCACAAGCAGAAGTATATACTAATATATAGAAGGTGCACAGAGTCATTCATGCAAACACAAAACACCATCATGGTAACACACATGATACTTAAATAATGCATTAAACTTTCATTAAACAACAGAAGATGTAACATCAAGCCCAAATATACATAACTAATAACAAAAACTATTAAAAAAAACATGATTATTTAAACAAAATAATTTCAAATGTGGAGTGTCATGCAGGGAATTCTGGGAATATCAGTTTACAGTTTTTGACTGTAAATTATACATTGATTTGTTATTTTTACTTCTAAAAACTGTAAAATTAACAGCATTTTACTGTAAAATTACATGAAATGTCTGGTTAGATATTTTACAGTTTTTCCCTGTATATAGTATGGGAACTTACTGTTAACCTATTAACAGTTTTTTTTCCGTAGCGTTTTTACAAAATGTTACAGTTAAAATTACACTTATTTTTTACAGTGTAGGTTTGTGTTGTGTTAAAATATGTAATATATTGCTCATTTATGACTTGCTTTTGTTTGTTTTTATACGTTACACCATGAACACACTATATATCCATCATTACGAATTCTTGAGCAAAAGGTTTTCCAATTCATAACTATGGCATTCCATGCAGATCAGGAGACTGTCAGAAGGGGGTGGGGTGGAATTAAACACTATCCTTCAATGACAAGAAGCTTTAAATGGATGTTTCATGAATTCAAATGTTTATATAATCCTTGAGCATGGGATTATACCTTTATGGGAGCATCCCATAGGAATATCAGTAATGAGATGCTGTATGCAGTGGTGAAGTAAGCCGATGTATATGTCCTTAACGTTAGCAGGATTAGATGAACATCCTTCACACAAGCAGTACTTCACTAACATTCATCCTTGACTACAGTGAATTTCTAGAGAATCACCATTAATAGAGAAAGTTACTAAGACACAATTTAACATGTCCATGAAAATGCCTAGAAAAAGTTGCATTATTCATTACATCTTTAAAATACAATATAGAGGCATTTTGCATGTCAGATATAATAATCTGTAATTTAGAATAAAATAGAAATAAAATGCTATTATATTATATTATATTATATTATATTATGTCCTTCCTTAAATACCCCACAAAAAATTAATATACACTTAATTTTTATTTCAGTGTACTTTAGATTAGTACGAAATAGGTCAGTCTGGTAGAGACTATGGAGTGAAAAAAGACCCTTTTGCTCTCACAACTCAAATCATCCATAAATTATTTATAGTAAAACTGCACACTGTTAAA